CGCATACACATACAGCTCCAGGCTCGGCCCCACTGAAGATTTGAAAGAAAGAAACCTCTATATAATGTCTCGATTTGATGATTAAGAAACTGGTGTTATTAAACTGAGATATCAATAATATGTATACAGATCTTTCACTTGCAAAGATACTTTGGGTGCTTGATACATTAAATATTAATTTAATTAATTCTTTATTTAATTAGATATTTTTAGCGAAATTGTTTTGTCAATTATCACGTTTGTGTAATGAAATGTCTCCAAATGTCGTTATATACGAACATTTTGTGCTTCCATCTAGCGATAGACAATAAAACTATTATGAAATATGGAAATAGTATAAACTGAATTCACTGCTAAGTAGTAGTTTTCCTTTATATCACTTCCACACTAAAATATGTGTGGTAGAATAACATTACTGTTATATATTAACATATATTAACATGTTTCTTAAAAACGTGTTTCTTAAATGATATAATCGGAAAGAAGTGTGGATAATAGCTTTTCGCCAAACAAACAAGTTTGAAATTACAACAAAAATGCCCGTTGTATTTCTGTTCCTTTATAAAGATACAAAATGGAAACATCAGAAAGCAGATTTGGTTTCATCTTAAGATATGAAGTTCATCAAAAGGAAATTAATGTTTGACTATACAGGTTTTCAAGGTTTAAAGTTTATAACTGTGAAGCGTTAGGACGTTAATAGTGACTTAAAGTTACATCAAGATAATTTTTTGTAGGCTTAATATGTGCTGCTATTTAACTAAACATTCTGAAATCATGCAACGAGTCGTGTTTGCATCGTTTAAACATGGCGGGTGTCATGTTTACCAGTAAAAACTGGAATATCTCTTGTGTTAACAGTGTTTGTTATTTCTAAAGCTTTAGCATTTCTAGCTTTGAGTGTATATAAGAACATTCGTGAAATCTAAATAATGAAGTTTTTTACATGTAAATACTAATAACCTTTTTTCAAACTAATTGCTTCCTGTATAGTAGTTTAATGATTTAGTAACTAGACGTATTATTTGTTATAACAATACACTGCTTAATGTTTTAGTAGCTAGTCGTATAATTTGTTATAACAATACACTGCTTAATGATTTAGTAACTAGACGTATTATTTGTTATAACAATACACTGCTTAATGATTTAGTAACTAGACGTATTATTTGTTATAACAATACACTGCTTAATGATTTAGTAACTAGACGTATTATTTGTTATAACAATACACTGCTTAATGATTTAGTAACTAGACGTATTATTTGTAATAACAATACACAGTTTAATGATTTAGTAGCTAGACATGTTATTTGTTATAACAATACACTGCTTAATGGTTTAGTAACTAGACGTATTATTTATTATAACAATACACAGTTTAATGACTTAGTAGCCCTACTAAACCATCAAACTGTGTATTGTTATAACAAATAACATGTCTCCCAGACATGTTATTTGTTATAACAATACACAGTTTAACGATTTAGTAGCTAGACGTATTATTTGTTATAACAATACACAGTTTAATGATTTAGTAACTAGACGTATTATTTGTTATAACAATACACAGTTTAATGATTTAGTAACTAGACGTATTATTTGTTATAACAATGCACAGTTTAATGACTTAGTAGCTAGACATGTTATTTGTTATAACAATACACAGTTTAACGATTTAGTAACCTGTCGTATTGTTTGTTATAACAATACACAGTTTGATGGTTTAGTAGCTAGACATGTTATTTGTTATAACAATACACAGTTTAACGATTTAGTAACCTGTCGTATT